TGGCCCGCCAGGGTGCTTACCCTGGGGAGCCGCGTGCCAAACGTTGCCGACCCCTGGTGTAAACAGAGGTTCAGGGTTGGTGATCTCAGGCAGGACTTGCTGCCAACCCTACTACTGTATATACTCATTTTTAAGCTTACTTTGCTTACAAGCAAATAAATGATTTTTAATTTAATTTTACATGGAAGAGAGTTGAGGCGGAATCTCTGCTACGTTCTTTCAGAAAATGGTGATACTTCTGTAGGTGAAAAAGCAGGATTCCGAGGGATTTAGTGTTCTTAGAAGGCAATGTTAATATACTAAATTTAGATGAGTCTGGCCTGAATCTGCTTTAGTTTTAGGACCTTTCACTCTGGATCCAAACTTAACTATTCTGACCCATCTCATAGAAATATGCGAATTTTCAGACTAGCAATCTGGTACATCTAGTCCAGTACCAGAGGCTTCAGAGGAAGGTGCAAGAAACCCATATAGCAGACAACTGTGGAATCAGCAGGCCATTAGCACAATCTTTTCCTAACCCCTTTAAATAAGAGGTTAGTTTATGCCCTAAAGCATAAGCATTTATATTTTTACATTTTTCTCTTTAACATATCTCTGGCTGATCTTTAACTAAAATACCTAACATGATTTTTTACTCTTACTGTCATTACATCATATATATCATTAGGCCCTAAGCAAAATAAGCAGTCATGAGATAAGAGGAAAGGTCCTCTCATGGATCATCAGTAACTGGTTAAAGAATAGGAAACAAAGGGTAGGAATAAATGGTCAGATTTCACAATGGAGAGAGGTAAATAGTGGGGTTCCCCAGAAATCTGCACTAGGACTGTGCTGTTCAACATATTCAGAAATGATCTGGAAAAGGGAGTGAACATGAGGTAGCAAAATTTGCAGATGATACAAAAATCACTGAACATAGTTAAGATCAAAGCGGAATGCAAAGAGTTACAAAGAGATCTCACAGAACGGGGTGACTGGGCAACAAACAAAAAAATGATGAAATTTTTTTGATTTTACAAAAAATGAAATTCAATACTGATAAGTGCAAAGTACTTGAAAACTGGAAAAGTACTGGAAAACACAATCCCAATAATACATACAAAGTGAGGGGGTCTAAATTAGCCATTACCACTCAAGATACAGATCTCTTGAGTCATTGTGGATAGTTCTCTGAAATTTCTGGCCCAGCAGACTGAAGTCCTCTGTCTAGCCACAAATAAGATAAAGGCACCGATCGTACTATTGCAATTTACTCTACAATGCTCAGCCATTGTGACTCAGTTCTAACCTGGACTCACTTGTAGGAGTAAAAGGACAGCTCCAGGCCTATTCAAGCCTTAGCCTCTCCACTGAGACTGCAAACAACAGGCTTGTGAATGTGGACATTTTGTCCACTGGGAATTGAATAGTTGCCACCACATTTCACATATGCCAAACAGTCATTGGACGGTCCTGTGAGCCTGGGCTGAATTCAGAAAAGGACAGGCTCCATTCCCTAAAGTGAAAATCTTATTGTATGCAGGACTGGGTAGATTTTTACAGCGCTGTATACATTTTTTTTTAAAACAACCAGCTACCAACCCTCTGAGTCATATTGTTCCCATTGCCTCTTTTTTTGTTAGCTTGTGACTATTTTAAATTTGAAATTCGTATAGTGTGTTGATATATCATAGAAGTTTTATACTGGGTAACTGGAGATTAATGTGAATCACTTTCTCTCAATCATGTGTAATAGTAAAGTGAGAAGAAAGGATGGTCTAGTGCAGGGGTGGGCAAACTATGGCCCAGGGGTCACATCCGGCCCTCCAGACATTTTAATATGGCCCTCGAGCTCCCACCGGTGTTGTGAGGATAAATACATTAAAGATTGGGAGGTACTCTCAAATACATGGTAATGGGAGCCATATAGGTACCAAAGATAGAAAGTTAGATTGTCCATCAGGTTCGGCACACCAGTCTGAGTATTAATATTAGAAACTGCATTTGTGCTATTTTTGTAGTGCACAAACACAGCAGAAGACTCTTTCCACTGACTTTAACAGGAGCTGAATTGCAATTATCAGAATCATTGAAAGATTTAGGCAGGATTTGCCAGGCATAGCATATTAATGTCAATTCAACCATACTCCTCTTAAAAATGTTTTAAAACATCAAGAAAATTACCTGCAGCCAAATCTTCTCTGTTACTTTGAATTGGCCCAAGGGACGTATCCGCCAGTGACAATCCCTTCTCAGTATCAAGGATTTCCTGGGTTTCCTTTTTATCCAAGAGCCCCACCTCTTCCACAATATTCATATCTGGCTCAGGCTCCCTCAGTTTAAGAGCCTCCTCCTCCTCTTCAGTATGCTGTACTGGCCTCTCATCTTCAACTTGTGGGAACTTCTGACCAATTTCTTCAGCTGAACTTGGGCTTCCCACAAGATGGCTATCATATTCAGTTTCTTTTACAGTATCTATAGTAGAGAGAAAAGCATAGATGTGGCATAGTTGGCTTGTCTTTCTCACTGGCAGCTGTATTGAGTGAAAGTTATTCAAAGACTGTGATTGACAAAGCCTTACCGATATCCTCCAGTAAATATATTCTTCCAGATGGCTATTTTTTTGTTCCAGCATATTTTTAGGCAAATTTCAGTGACACACAATTAAATATTTGCATGGAAATTATGCAAGGTAAAAACACTGACCAGATGGAAGTTTTACTGAATCTCAGTAACAAGAATGTATCAGAAAATAAATGGCTAACTATTTGCTTCTGTTAAAAGTGCCCTATTTATACTAGGGTTTTGTACTTCATCTTTGTCCCCATCACTATTATCTGACTAATCAGGCAGGCATCAGCAAGTCTCTGGTGGACTTCATGAAGCCTATGGCTCATCTTCCTTGCCAAGGTTGGCATGCTCAGTATTTCCTCCACTCATTCACTGTGTTTTGATGATATATTGTGGTGATGGGATTCTTATCTAGATATTTTTTCAGTGCCTAAGTTTAATATAAAATCATTACACATATCAGATAAAGGCACAGTTAAAGGCAGCTGCTGTGGAAGTTCAGCACCTACTACGTATTTCTAAAAATTTCACTGCATGCCTGTAATTTTTTTTTTTCAAAACGAGGCCCTGTGTGGATGGGTCTTTCCTGACACATCCAATCACTTCAGTCTCATATGCAGGAGGCATATGCAGAATGAAGCAGATGGTTGCAGCTCAATAGCCGTCATCTCTCTCTCAGGGTTTATACGGCCAACCATCAGCACAATATCTGAGCCCTTCCACATAAAAATTGATTAGTAATAGTGAAGTCCCAAATGGAGTCTGGGTTTCTTTCCTCCTCCCGCCCCGCCCGCCCCACCCAATTATGCTATAAAAACTCTACTCGGAGTAGGGTTATATGTTTGTTTTAGGGTTTTTTTTCCTCCATAGGCAAGCAAAAACAACTCTCAACTTCCTCTGAGCAATTGTCAAACTTAAGATCCTACCTGTACCAGGCATGCTATAATCCTCCTCATGTTCTGGAACGGACACAAGAGGTTCACTCTCACTAACAGATGAGTATTTGTGCCTTAACGAATATATTAATTCCTGAACATCATCCATCAGTGCAGCTTCTTCATCCCACAAATCGATTTCTTTCACCACCTCTTCTTTATTTTCTGCTTGCCTCGCATCTAAAACATGTTCCACAATTTCCATTATCCTAGATTCTGAAAATGTAAGGATCTGGTCCAAAGCTTGTTCAATATCCTCATAATCACGATTACCCTTTTGCGCAAGATCCAGCTTCAACTTCATGTTGTGAAACATGGCTTCTACCCTGACAATGTGCTCGGGCCCAAGATATTTTTCTAAACGTGCCACTCGCTTTTCATCAAGAAATTCTTTTATTATAGTGAGCTGCTTCACAGCCTCTCTGTATCCTGGCTCCACAGCTTCATTTGTGGTTACAGAAGTATCAGCAGGCCCTGTCTGCTCTATTACGTTCTGAATATCTTTCAGGTCTTTCTGCACAAGATCCTCTAAGAGAGGATCTTCTGTTTGATTAAAGTCATTTTTGCTATCCACTGTTTCAAGGGACTTGTCATTTGGCAAAGTCCTTTCATCCTCTTCTTCCACTTCAGGTGCTACTAATCTTTCTTCTGTTTCTGGAGACTCCTCGTCTTCTTCCATCTCACTCAGTTTAGCTCCACTGAATTGTATATCCTCCTCTTCATTCTTGGTCTCACTCAAATCTTGCATGCTGTTCTTTCTGGCATGCTTAAATGTTGTGTTTGCTTCCTCTCCTGATTCATCGATTTCATAAACAGGATTAGCAGTTCCTGAAATAGCTCCATCTGGTATTTCCAATTCTGGGTTTGTACTTTCTCCATCTAATTTATTACCCTGTCTATTTGCAAGCCTCTCTTTTGACAATTTTGCACTCGCAGCATTGTCATCGTCTAATAGTTCTTCCTCCGCTTGACTTAGGAGGTCATCATCTTCTTCAGCTTCCAACTCTTCAGACAGAAATTCTGGTTTTACTGTTTTTTCTCCAACTATATCGGTTCCAAGAGCTTTGTCTTTATTTTCATCCTCACTATGAGCAGTGTCTTGTTGGGTCAGCCTCTCTATCTCAACATCCTGTGTAGTGTCTGTGGATATTTCTTCAGTTGCTATTTCACCAATACTTTTTTCTAGTGTCTTCTTGCCTGTGTTTCTGGAAAGCTCTTGTTCTGCATCTTCCTCTGAATACCTGGTCTTGTTTTCTTGTTGCTTAGATTGCTCAACAGCTGCTTTACTTGTATGCTGATTGTTCAGGTTTTCTTCCTTTTTTCCCCTTAGTATTTCAGTTTCTTCCTTAACAGCAACATTTGTTTGATTCTCATTCTCAGGCACCCTTGTTTGTTCAAAATCCTCTCCATTTTGTTGAATATCTTGTTTCTCTGTAGCAGATGTTTCATGCTCTCTTTTGCCTTCTAAGAGGTCAATATCCCCCAGGTCACTTTGGGATGCACTTTTTCGCTCCTCCAGTGGTTCTGGTAGAAAATTGATGGATTGCTGGTCCCCAGATGCTTTTTTTCCCTTTATTTTCTTCCATAATGTTTTGGGTTTTGTATCATTTTCCAAGCTGTCCTCCAAAATCTCCTCCTCTGCCTTTTCTTTATCTTTCAATATTTTATGAAGAGTAATTCCTTCTGGATCATCTTTGATGTTGCCTACAGGTGGTTTTAAAGCTTCTTGCTTTTCTTCAATGGATAATTTAGACTCCAGGCTAGGAATAGCGCTAGGATCATGCACAGATGTGCTTTGCAGTTCTTCAGTAAATGATTCTGTCTTATCATCCATGAACTCTTCCTCATACTGTTTAGTTTTATTTGTTTTTTCCTTTGGATCTTGGCCATCTACAACATGTTTTTCCTTTTTGAGAAGGTCTTCTTCCGTTAGATCTTCAAGCTGAACTGTTGCTGCTGTTTTATCCTCCTTACTAACTGGGATCACCTCATCTTCTTCCTCTTTTTCTTCCATTGAATCAGACTTGCCCACATCTGTATCATCATTTGTTCTTGCACCCCCTCTGCGAGTTGGAAAGATAGTGTCCTCTACAGTTGTTAATAAACCCGGATAGTCTTTTTTCTCATTATTTCTTTGGGTAATTAACTCTGCAGCATCCTCAATGGTTTCATAGGGTTTATTCTTTTCTGACTCATGGTCAGCATATTTACCAGCTTCTGAGTCCACTGGAGTTTCTTCTTTTGTAAATGACAGCAAAGGAATTTCTTCAGATTGTTCCTTAAGATCTTCTAGCCACGCTGTGTCATGAGAATCAGTATTCAAATCTTCATTAAAATCATCCTCCAGTGATGTCACAAGGCTAGTCATCTCATCATCAGACACAAGGGCATCTGCAGTTGAGCCAAATTTTGTTTTCAACTCCATAGATAGTTCTCTGTTTAAAAGTGTATAGGCATCAATCTCTTCACTCTCCTTATCTGATTCTTTGGCTGTACCCTGAGGATTATTAGACTTTTTGGCATTTTCACTTTCTAGCACTTTTAATTTTTCTTGTAGCATTCCTTCTGAGTGAGGATGTGCAATTTGGTCTCCCTGAGACTTTTTTTCATGGCTATACATGTTGAGGTCATCCCTCTCCGATTTGAAGAGTCCCTGTACATTCTTAGTATTTTCAGAAAGAAAACTGACTTTTTCTTCTGTTTTGGTGAAGACTTTCTTGTTTTCTTCTGGACCTGGCTCAAGAACATCAGTCTCAGAAACATCAAGGAGCTTTACAGTATTGGACCCTTCTGTCTGCTCCTCCTCTTTGGTTTCTTCAACAACTTCTGTCCCTGGAGCATTCAGTTCAGCTTTGCCCCTGTTCACCGCAGTTTCTTCCGAAGATTTTAAAAGCTCATCCACATTATAGTTATCAAAATTATCTTTTCCTCCATCAAAACAAACAAAATCAGTTTCCTGGAGCAAAGGGGAAAAAAGCATTGTCAGTTGTCAGAGAGTTTTTTCTATTACACCAATGTAAAAGGTTCAAACAATTTTCTTTACCATTACACATGTCTACACTTTTCCATTAACTGGCGACTAAATCTTGAAGTCTGTAATCAAAACTTCCATTGACTCAATGGGAAGTTTTCTTGAGTAAGGACTGAGTAGAACAACCAAGTAAGGACCTTAGGATTCCAAGCAGTGGGCTAAATCCTAAGCAGTCATGAACAGATAGGGCGTCAATGGCAGAGTTGGGTATATTTTAAATAATCTATCATGTGCATCTTTGAAATTGGAGCTATTGTCAGTAAAATGGCAAGGACAAGTTCTTCTTTATCAAGTGGTTAGCATATAGTGGGTGCCATCATAAATAAATAGTGATACAAACTAAATGTTTGTACTTACACGATACACATGGGCCAAAATTCAGTCTGATCCTGCAACCTTACTCACATATGTATTTCCAGTAATTACAATGGCGTTACCCATGTGAATAAGAGTTGCCAAATCAGACTGATAACCTATATGCTAATAGAGTTAAGCAAACAAAGAGGCTTACACAGTTTCAAAGTTTTTCTCTAAGTTCCAGAAGTTCTGGGAAACAAACCTATTCATTCAGAGTTTGTATGAAACAGCCTCCATACAACCCAGCCAGTAACATTTCTTCGGGGATTCTGAGACCATTCTATGTATAGTTATTTAGTCACTTTTTGTCAGAAGAAAGAATGTTCATTTAAGACAAGTCCAGTGTTCAAATTATGGTGGATATAGACATATATACACACAATATTAGTTCACTGACTGAAAAGTAATTACAGTTTTTTCCTCCTAGGGTTATTAAGGTCCCAGTTCTCTCTCTCACTGATTTCACTCACAGTTCAGGAATGAGCCCTAAGTGTAATAAAGCCAGTCAAAAAAGTCACAATCAAAACTTACATCTGTTGGTAGTTCTAGCTCATCACTGGTATTATAAATATAATTTATTTCAAGTAAATCCTTTGGAAAATATCCAAATTCACTGCCAACCTGCCAGAAAAAAACCAACAAAACAAAAAGAAAAGTTTCAATGTAAAGAAGCTTGTAAAGCCACATTAGAAAAAAAGTGACTTTAAAAATTACAATTAGTAGTTAAGAATACATGAAGTTAGATATTAAATCTAAATATTTCTAGATATACAGGTTGCTACCACAATAAATTGGTGAAACGGAACAGTAATACATTACAGTTGAATGTTTAATTTGAGATTCTAAACCAGGGATCGGCAACCTTTGGCACGCAGCTCGCCAGGGTAAGCCCCCTGGTGGGTCAGGCCACTTGCCGTATCCGCAGGTTCGGCTGATCGCGGCTCCCATTGGCCACGGTTCGCTGCTCCAGGCCAATGGGGGCTGTGAGAAGCTTACCCTGGCGAGCCGAGTGCCAAAGGTTGCTGAGCCCTGTTCTAAACATTAATTAAGCCTCACAACACCTTTGTGAAGTAGGGAAGTATTTCTACTCCCCTTTCAAAGACAGGGCCAACTAAGGCATAGGGCCACATAGCAAGTTATGGGAAGAGTTTGGAATGAAACCCAGGAGTCATGGCTCATAGCACACTCTCACTGACTTCACAAATGCTCCGATCCCTTTCTTGTGCACAATTAACAAAAATATCTTTTTGTGATAAGGCCTGCAAAAATGTCACATTTTTAAAGCAGACAACCAACCTCCTCCATAACTTTATACTTCTCCCCTCACATTTTGAAAAGATTTCTTAAAGCCAGCTTTTAGAAAACACAAAATTGCACCTGAGTTATTGTAAATTGCTGAACAGTAGCCTTTTATCACACTAATATTATCTACCTTAGTATCAGTGTGTAAAATGTGACCCTCTTTGCAAACACACTTGTTCTTCAGTAGCTACTGTTTCCAGGTGAGCAATAGCTGCAGGTGGTCAGTAAAGAGTAAGGTGATGTGGTGATCAAATGCAAACAGTGGGAGACAAAAGCTCTCTTATCACTTGCTAGTTAAAGATCCACAGAATAATGCTCTCACTTGGGAGCTCTGATAACTGCTGTCAGGAAGCCAATATGAATAGCACAGTATTGCTTCAAAGATTAGATAGCCAAAGCAATGAGAAACTGGCAGACACCCTATTAAGAGTACAGAGTCCCTAGAAAGCCAAAATATGCTCAAGAATAAAACACTGCTCATTTCCTTGATATCTTGATGTTTTTATTGTAGGAGCAAGAAGGCAATTGCCAATATTCTTGGAGAGTCTGAGTGAAGATCGTTCAATTAAGGATCAAAATAAAAAAAGAACATAGTTCACTCTATCAAAATAATTAGATGGGACACATTCTGATATCAATTACACTGGTTTATAAATCCAGAGTAGTTTCCAACAGTTCAGTGAAGCTCTCTGGATTTGCCACAGTGCAAATAATAATTAGAACTTGGTCTAGGTGTGTAATACATAGATATAGTAATACACACATAAATGAATAAAATTCTGAAGGGAGATGGTGTTTCCTTTGTTAAATATTTACCATTCAAATCCTAAATTAAATAGCTGTGGAAACTAGTTACATAACAATAATGTTTACAGAATTGATATCATTTTTTTGTATACGCTACAGGGAGAAGTAACTGCTACTATATTTTAAAAAATCCTGTGTATTATATTTGCGATAGGAGCAAGCCAAGCAATTAGCCTAGAAAAGCTAGTTCAAATCCCTTCCCCTTTATTCCCATAGAATAATGCTATCTTTTTCTTCACCAGTTAATATTCCATTTTTCAAAGACTCTTTCAAGTGCAAAAGCCGAAGCCTCAAAGTAGCTTCCTTATAGACTAATCTTAATGACAACAATTAGGCATCACAATTTCACACTACTTTATTATAATCCAAGCTTCCAAGCATACAACTCCCTTGCCATGACCCAGATTGCAATTTAACATGGCCTATGACAGAAAAACTTACTCCTATATATTGCCATGCATGCAAGTGATTTATTCTATTCAGTAGTGATTGAGGCTTGAAAGGAAAATAGAATGTCACGGCAGAGAATGGAGGGAAAAAATGCATCCTGCAGCCTATCTGGGAGATGCTCCTAATTAATTGGCAGCTGAACTGATCTGCAAATGAGACATGGGTTTAAACACACTTGCATCTAGAATTAAAGAACTGGCAGTCTCTGAAGTCTGTATGTGTCTGAGGTAATTGTCCTTGTAGTGTCTCCCTATGACAGCAATCTCTAGTAGCTGATTCACAAAATGATACTGACATCTTTATACCACAAAAAGCAATCGCTTCACACCACCTGCTGAATACCACAATGACAGAAACCAGAAAGAGGAAATATTCTCCTATGTCTGAGTTACAAGGTTCAGCTATTATTTAAAAATAAAATCCACAAAAGCACAAACATCATCAGGAATATTCTCACTTACAAGGATCCAATACAGCAGGAGAGTTGGTGCAAAGAGATGGTTAGATTGCTCTACCTTTTTGTGTAGCCTTTGTATATCATTCAGAAAGATTAGAATCAAATGTTAAGAGCAATTCCTGAACTCCATGTGGATCTTCCAGAAATCAATTCTCTCTCACACACTTTGTTTTTAAAGTAACTCCATCCACAACCATGAGTCCAGAGAAAGGTGGCCACAAGCCAAGTCCTTTTTTTGGTGTGAGGCAAGAAAACAGAAGGAAACATTTATCTGGTACAGGACTGAATAATGTTCCATCCTGCACCACAGAGTACCGTATATACTCGACCATAAGCCAGTTCGTTTATAAGCCGACCCCCCCGCAAGATGGATAAGTAAAAATGGAAAATTTTTACAACCCGTTCATAAGCCAACCCTATAATTCAGGGGTCAGCAAACGTTGGCTCCCGGGCCATCAGGATAAGCAGCTGGTGGACCGAGATGGTTTGTTTACCTCAAGCGTCCGCAGGCATGGAGGTAAACCTAAGTAAACAAAGTGTTCCGGTGAGCCAGCTCCTTACCCTGACGGGCCAGAACAGCAACTGGTGGGGAAATTTTTTGGGGGGGAGAAGCTGGGAGTCAGGGGAGTAACCCCTGTGACCACCCCCCATATGACCCCACCTCTAGCCCAGGACCCCCACACTCTCCCCATCCCATCCCTTCCCATCTTATCTGGGGAGGGCCAGAGGAGGCAGTCTCTGGCCTGGCTGGAGCTGCTCCAGCGGGGCGGCAGCGTGGCCGCAGCCTGCTCCGGCGGGCCAGACCAGGCGGCATGGCTGCAGCATGGTCCAGCGGGCTGGGCTGGGCGGCACAGCTGCAGCATGCTCCGGCAGGCCGGGCGGCGTGGCAACAGCCTGCTCTGGGGGGTGGAGCCAAGCGGCACGGCTACAGCCTGCCAACCCCGGAGCTGCAGCTGCTTCGGAGGCTGGGGAGAGAGCAGCATGGCCAAAAGTGGAGAGACTCTGGCCCCACCTCTTCCCTTCTGGCTTTGCTGGCTGTGCTGCCTCTCCTTGCTCCCTCTGTTGGGGGAGGGGCAGTGTCCCACCTCTCCCTCTCTATACCCATTCATAAGCCGACCCCCTTCTCTGGTGCTTCCCTTTTTTACTAAAAAAATTCGGCTTATGAATGAGTATATACGGTAATATATATGTTTGTGGGGTAGAAATCAGAAGTCTAACACTGAAAAACTGTTACTTTAAAAAGTGGCAGCTGTTTGAAGCTGCTCAGAGATTTGGGATATTAGAGATTCTGATAAAAATGTGGGCATGATTATAAATGTGGGGTGTTTTTTATTTTGGTGATATGGACTGTTCATGGGGCAGGGGGAGTGGTAGAGGATACCTTACAGAGACAGTAATATATGGAGTTAAAAAAGTATGACATATGAAGTATGACATGGCCATCAACGCTTCGTGCTTTGAGGAAAACCTGGCAGCAATATTTTCTCTGAACTGATGTTTCAATGGAATTAAAAACAGAATTATTCTTTAACACTCTGAGCATTTTCCATTGTACTAACAACAGAGTAGATCCTGCAAACCCTCCGCATGCAGAATTCCCCTTGACTTCAATGAGAAATCCACGTACAGAGGGCATACAAGAATGAACTCAAGACTAAGATGCTATTCTTGCAACAGCTTGAAGGATTTTTGCAATCATCAACAACAGCTTGAATAGAGGGATGAATTAATAGGCAAGTAAAAGAGCATGTAAAGCAGTGAACAACTGCTTTAGATTTTCCAACCTGCATTAACCCTTGCTCATCTGATCATGGTCCTTCAAGTCACCCATATTTATTATGGCCCTGATCTTACAAATGACTCCACTTGGACACAGTCACTTGCAGGATGGGGACTAGATGTATAAATTTTGTTTTGGAACGAGCCCGGTTCTTTAGTCATTCTGATCCTTAAATACAGTTTCATCTGGTGGCCCAAAGCAAGGACAGAATAACTATAAGTGGGTTAGAAATAGCTATAAATTCTTCTAACAAATCAAATTCCCCATATTTAAGAGCCAATAAAATTAAAGTTTATGGTGGAAATGTGTAGTAATACATTTCAGATGATAAACTGTTTATGCGGGTTGCAATATAATCAGCTTAACTCCTTGTATGATAAATAAGTACAGTATCCCTGTAGTTACTTCTTGGTTTTATAACTCCCTCTTATCCCTACATAAAAGGGCACTGAAATCAAATTTGTCCCAAAATTTAGTAGTTGTTTTTAAAGGCACATTTCCAAAGCCCTAATATGAACAGAAAAGGGTCTATTTACATACATTAATTGAGGTTTTAAAAACATATATAAATAAGTATCCCTCTGAAAAGCTTGCAACCTAGTTATTGCAGCATTGTGTTATCAGGAGACGCTGAAATTGAAACTGACTAGAAACTAAAAATACAAAAATTAAACTGATTAGTCTTTTTTCATTGTTGGCTAGACATGCAGAAAGCCACCTAAATAGTGAAAAATAAATTGGATTTTTAAAATTCTTTCAAATCTAATAATGTAAGGTATTATTTTTTAAACACAAATTAGGACTTTTGATTTGGGTTTTTTTAAATATATTACCTTAAGCTTGACAATGTGCCTTTAAGATACTGGTGCTAGCTCTGTTAATGAATATGGTTAAAATGTTGATTCTGCAATTTCTTGTCTGTTGAATAATCTGTGGGCCTGATCTTGCAGCCCTTGCTAGCTTGTGAGTAGGAGCTGCAGGATTGGGCCCATGTGTTAGCTTTTTGTGTTTGTGGAGAGCTGGCAGCCCTGGAAACTGGTGCCATCTAATTATCCAGGTTATTTATGGCACAGTACGTGTCAGAAGGGAATTGCCAGCATGATAGAATTATAAATTCTGCTTCTTTCACCACATGGCACAGCTTTCCACTTTCTTCCATGCTATTTTAATTGGATCCTACTATTACTATGAGGCTGCCTGTCCCCACCCTAAGCAACACCACCTGCCAGTGCATGAAGCCAGTAGTCACACAATAAGAGCAGGCATGGCTTTGTGAAGTCCAGTCCAGCTCACTGAGGCACAAGGACTTAGTTGTCAACAGCAGCATTCATCTTTGGGAGCAAAACAGTAAAGACATGAAGAAGAGCAGGGGAAAGACAGGAATAAAGAATTTAAGGGCATGACCCCACAAGATGCTGAGCATCATTAACTGCCAGAGATACTAGTGAAATCAGAGGCTGATCAGCACCTTGCAAGGTTAGACTTTTTGTATTTTTTAATAATCTTCTTTCCTCTTCCCTGTGAGTGCCCCCATTCCGCAGATCTCGTGTAAGCAAAACTACTTCCCACTGAAGTCAACTGGAGTTTGCCATGTAATGACTTTAGGATCAGGGTCTGAGAGGGTTTGCTGAAGGGGTCTTCTTTTCCTACTCAAGTGACCTATCATCTTTAAACAGAATAAAACAAAACGACAGCCTTGTCTAAAGGTCTGTTACAGTCTGATTATGAAAAAATTACTATCGTGAGTAGTCCCACGGAAGACCCTAAGTTTTACAAACACTTCCTTATTAAAACTGAAATAATTGTCGAAGTTCAATTTGCTTTTCACTCTTTATGCCTTTTTTTTTCTTTACTTAATTTGGACAATAACAATACCTAGTCAATTGAACGATAGGATGATGAGTACATAAAAAGCCATAGGCCACCGTCCTGCAAAGATTTATTCACTTGCTTAAGTTTATGCAGTCTGTGTTGCGTCACTAAAGCCAATGAGACCACACACAGCGTGCAAAGTTAAACAGCTTTGCAGGACTGGGACCTTAGTTTCTAGTCACTTTCAGGTTCTCGTGTACTAGCACAATGTTCGGTCCGCAAAAACTGCAGGGGAATTTTTAAAAAATGGAAAAATATTTCTCTTGCTTTATTTAATATATGAAAAGTTAATTCTTACAAAACCTAATGTATGATCCAAATATGACCCAATAGCATCCCTTAAAAATAAAAGTGTGTGTTAAAATCTTGTCTCAAGTGAAAATTACATCTGTTACACTATCTCTTCTATGTAAAAAAGTGAAGTGTTTTCAGATTTTTGAAAAGGAGCCAAAGAAATAAAGATGATTGAAATGTACAGTGCTAAAATGGCCAATACAACTGAAATAAAATAAGTGTTTTGCAGTACTTACACTTCCAGCCCAAAGCTCAGTTGATTTTCCTATTAATTTGTAATACACATACACTGCTTCTCCTTCTTTCAAATTTATAAAGCGACAGTCTGGACCTTTAAAATCCTGCTTTGCTTTCCCTCGATACATCAACACTGTACAAAGAAAACAAAAACAAAATATAGCATTTTAAATAAAGCACAGTTCCCTGAACAGTATCTGTATTAATTAGCAGGAAAGAAGGCCTTGTTGTATGCAGAATATGGCTAATATATTTATGGGCATCTGGTCAAGGGATAAGAATATATGACTGATTTAAGGGACAAAAACTTATATGGTAATATTAAGATTGTTTCATGATGTGATGTTAAAAGTTACAACCTTTATAAATGTTAAAAGTACAATAAGAAAGAGTTATTATTAATAATAATTTTAAATTAGATAGATCCAAAGATGACACGTGCTTCATGACTAATCAGCTTTCATGTTATTCAGTGCAGAAATTATACCTGTAGAGGGTGGAGGTTTGTTTTGTTTTTGAAGAGAGTTTTTGCAGGAGGAAGAGAGCTGGGGAAGCTAAAAAAACTGGTCAAGATCATCAATTTATGAAATGCAAGTTCATCAAGGTAAGTCTTTAGGAAGTCTGTGCAGCAAGGCAAAGACTTTTTGTGGTACAATTATTTAAAATTGTATGATTATTTTTTGTATAAAAGTAAAAAAAAAATCAGATTCTTGCAGCTTATGCCACAACAATTCATTCTCTAAGTATTTTGGAATGCTTATTCTTGCAAATCTGTGTCAAAGATGATGGAAAATTATTTCTACTGGACCTTTTCAGACTGAACTCTGGAGCATAGCATTCTCTGTCAGACAAAAGAAATACAGTAAGTCCCCTAGGGAGACAGGAAATGCCTGAATATTTGTATATTTCCAAGAACTCAGGTTGCTCCGGGTTTACTTGATGTAGGGAAAGAAATAACACACACACATAAATAGGATGAGTTCAAGTGTTGCTTATTCCTGTGAAATCCATTTTCTTTGCTCTTTGTTTAAAAAAAATATTAAGAAAAAGAATGGATCCTCTCTGCCTGGAAGACACGGTTTTGTTTACAAGGAAGGGGAATTCAAACATTTGATGTTTACTAAAAATCTAAAACACAAGCAATGTAATACACCAGGAAACTGGGAGGGAGACTTGGCCACCCTCAGACCAACAAGGTTAGCAAACCACTAAAAAGGGTAATAACCCCAACGCAGGAGCTTTCTACCAGCACCGAGCTCCCCTTTGACACCGGGCCTCCAAAAATCGGAGTAGTTTTTAAACACATTTCTTCCCCTAAGAAGAGGCAAAAGCTTAGACAGAAAACAAGAGAATGTCTCCCTCCCTAGCCAGATCCCCCAATAACCAGCCCAGGTCCTTGTCCCTCTCCCTTTACACGACACACCAGGCGGGGAAGGCAGGCGGCGTACTTGCAAACAACTATTTGTAATAAACTAAGCAACAAGTTTCCAAGCAATCTTTAGGAAGCCGTGGGCAGAGGGAAGGGCACCAGGCATCCCTGTCTCCCTCGACAAGAGAGAGGCAGCGCCGGGAGAGAGTAACCTCAGCATCTCCCTCCCCACAAGAGGGCGCTTGGGGTGGAGCAGTGGTGTGGGGGCGCAGGGTGGTAAATCCAGCATCTCCCCCTCCCCGCAGCAGGGGTGACCCAGCGGGCCCCCAATCACTGCCCCGTGCTGGGAGGGGCCCTGGAGATGCCAACAGGTCCTGGCCGCAGCCGAGCAGTCTCACCGGGACCGGACCTCCCGCGGGGACCCCAGCGCCCCGCACCCACTTACTGCTGCACTCCGGGTCGGCGCAGCGCTTGCGCTCGGCGAAGCGCCGGTCCAGGTGCTTGGCGGCCAAGCAGAGGGGCCGCTGCGCGGGCAGGAGCAGGGCGACTAGGGCGAGGAGCAGGAGGGAGAAGCGCGGTCGCGCTGCAGCCATGTTAGCAGGGCTGGCGGCGGGGGGAGGAGGGAGCGGGGCCGACACGTCAGCAGAGCCGGGATGGAGGAGGATGTGGAGGGAGGAGGGACCCGGGTGGGAGGGGGAAGAGGAAGAAATCCACCGCCTGTCCCAGAGTAGAGGCGAGAAACCCCTCCCCTGCCATCCCAGCCCCAGAGGACAAGGACCCTCCCCTGGCACCCTAGCCCCAAAGGAATTTAGGGACCCCCTGGTGCCCCATCCAAGAGACTGGCTGCTTTCACGAGACTCCTACCACGTCCATCTAACTTCAGCCACGTCCCACCCCATTTCCCCTCCCTCCTTCCTACGAACACTTACCAGCCCATCTTGGAGAGCCTCCTGGCATGACGCCCGATCCCTACATAGCTCCTACATGCAGATTTTAATAAGAAGGGAGCAGAGATATCATGGATATTGCATGGCAGAGAAGCTCCTTGCAGAACTTTTTTTCACTGTTGAAAGAGGTGGCAAGACGTTGCTTTTGTTCAGAGCCTGGGAGTTGGGGTGCAGTAATTATTTTTTCACTTTAAGGGCTGAATCTTTTCCACTTATGGAAAAAGTGAAGTCTTGGGGGTGGAGAACTTGTATACAGAAGTACAGAGTCCTGCTCGATTCCGAAGGGAAATTTGGTTTAAAGTACATGTAATCTAATGCATTCCAAAAGCAAAATATTTTCTGTTCAGAAGTAGTATTGGGCTAAAGTCACTGTCTGGAGCAAGGCTGCGTTAACAGGATAAGAGGCCTGGAAGTGGGGAATGAACTCTTTCAGAAGTAGAGAGGTCTCCTTTAACCTTTCCCCTCCTTTTCAGTTCACTGTAAGGAGTAATCCTGCCTCCCTTGGCCAGGGGGACTAGATAACTTAAGAGGTACTTTCCCTCTTTGAGTGTAAAGGTGAAATAGATTCTATCTGTTGTACAAATTTCTGGTGGGTAGTGATGCTCAAAATGAGGCAAGAAGTCAAGCAAAAATAAAGGTAATTCTTCATATTATCTTTAAGTACATTGTATCTATATGTGAGATGGGTGTACCTATATAACTGTAACAAGAACACATCAACATTGTGAATATGGTACAGTAATGAAATGTAATTCTGAAAGGTTAACAGTAGCAATGGGGCTGAACCAAACACTGGATCTTAATACTCTCCCCATCAATCCTTGTGCAAGTTCAGATCTAGATCTGAGCTTCATAACTCCATCATTGGAAAAAAGCAGTATCATGCATTCTGTCCTCACCCAACTCCGGCTGATTAGGCTCCAATCTCACAAATACTTAAGCATATAAATGTATGTGAGTAGTCCCATTGAACTAAATGCAACTACTCATGGTAGAAGTTACTCAGGTAAGTGCTGGTAGGATTGATCCCTGAAGGTGCTTATTATAACTGTTCTGTAAATTCTATTTGGATTTGCTGCTACATATTAACATGAATTACATTAGAGATGTTTTGTAAATAAAATACATGCTTCTTACATTTGTACCTGTACCTTGTATGCATTCTTACATTACATTATAGTTATTTAACAGTCTAGGGCAAGAGGGCTGCAAAGAAAGCCACAGGAATTGTCTGAAGGGTAAAGGTGGTTATGGAATGTCTTTCCTCCCTCCATATACTTAGTTTATCTGTAAACATTCAACCTGACTCCTAGGCTGCTAGCAGACAAAAGGATATAGTTCAGGGGGAATAGGTGATGGACAATAGATGCTTGTTGCTGATTCTATTGAAGTGAATGGCAAAACTCTCTTAGCTTCAGTGGGAACAAATGGGGGGAAGGATTTAAAATCAGGGAGGGCAAATTCTGAACTGGATCCTGACATGAGGGCGGCTAGTGACCAAGTGGGGTGAAGTAGTAGATGTGATATCGCTTCATTTTAGTAAAGCTTCCGACAGTTTCACATGACATTTTCATAAGCAAACTAGGGAAATGTGGTCTAGATGAAATTACTATAAGGTGAGTGCACAACTGATTGAAAGACTACACACAGAGTAGTTATGAATGGTTTGCTGTCAAACTGGGAGGGCGTATCTAGTGGTGTACTGCAGGAGTCAGTCCTGAGTCCAATATTTTCATTAATGACTTGGATAATGGAATGGAGAGTATGCTTATAAAATTTGCTAATGACAACAAGCTGGGAGGGATTGCAAATACTGTGGAGGACATGATCAGAATTCAAAATGACCTTGACAAATTGGAGAATTGGTCTGAATACAAAAAGATGAAATTCAATAAAGACAAGTGCAGAGCAACTTATTCAGGAAGAAAAAAATCAAATGCACAACTACAAATTGGAAAATAAGTGGCTAGGCAATACTGCTGAAAAGGATATGGGGGTTATAGTGGAACACAAATTGAATAAGTCAACCATGTGATGCAGCTGTGAAAAAGGCTAATATAATTCTGGGGTGTATTAAGTGGAGTGTCATATGTGAGACATGGGAGGTAATTGTCCTACTGTACTTGGTATCAGTTAGGCCTTAGCTGAAATACTGTGTCCTGTTCTGGACACCACACTTTAGGAAATATGGGGACAAATTGGAGAGAGTTCAGAGGAGAGCAACAAAAATGATAAAAACTTTAGAAAACCTGACCTATGAGGAAAGGTTAAAAAAATGGGTATGTTTAGTTTTGAGAAAAGAAGACTGAGGGGGGACTTGATAACAGTCTTTAAATATATTAAGGGCTGCTATAAAGAGGATGGTGAGGTGATCAATTGTTCTCTATGGCTACCACAATTAGGACAAGAAGTAATGGGCTTAATCTGTAGTAAGGGATATTTATATTTAGGTTAGATCATTATGAAAAACTATAAGGATAGTTAAGCTCTGGAATTGGCTCCCAAGGGAGGTTATGGAATCCCCATAATTGGAAATCTTTAAAAACAGGTTAGCTAAATATTTGTCAGGGATGATCAAGTTTTACCTGGTCCTGCCACAACACAGGTGTCTAGACTTGAGGACTTTTTAAAGTTCTCTCCAGCCCTACAGTTCTATGAATGGGGATGCCTAATGTCTGATGATCAAAGTGAAAGAGTTTTGTTTTTTTGTACATTGGGAAAATGGAGTTGGCAAGCTGTGATTTAGAGTCCTTTTAAACTAATTAACATTTGCAAAACACTTTGAGATCATCGCTGAAGCACAAAGGATTATTAATAATTAAATGCTCAGGGGGTTACTCTGTGACCACAGAAAGTGCAGTCCTTTGTGCTCTTCCATTTATTATCAGCTCTTATCTCAAACTATTAGCAATCATCACCAGTACTAATCACATTAGAATTACTGTTCATGTTCTTATCATATGCTCATGGTTATTGATTTTTGCTTTATATACCCATTTCTACGTTCCCTTAGGAGGAGAACTGAGAGCCCAAAGGATGTAGCAAAGTTAATACTACATAGCCTTGGGAAAAAAATATCGATTAAAAAAAAAAAAGATCAGTTTGTTGTCATTCCCCCAGACAACAGCAAGGTAAGAGAATTTAAAATAGTTTATATTATACATAAACTAACAATGCTAAGAAAAAATCTCTGATAAGTTTGGGTACAGGTATCTTTGAGTATCCTGTTAGTTCTCTGTACTTGGCGGGGAGATGATCAATAAACACTCAGCTGCTGCAGGATGTATCGTAGCTGGGGCCCTTCTCTCTAAGCAAGTACTTTCCAAGCATAGTGCCTGGACTGTACAACACAGTGCTGCTGATGGTGCCATGCAGTGTCAGTATCTCTGGAAATCAGTTCATTAATCTCTCTACTTCAGGTCCCTCATCCGTAGACTGCGGATACTGAGGGTACGTCTTCACTACCTGCCGTATCGGCGGGTAGCAATCGATTTATCTGGGATCGATATATCACGTCTCGTTAAGACGCGATATATTGATCCCCAAACGCGCTCACTGTCGACTCCGGAACTCCACCAGAGCGAGCAGCGGTAGCGCAGTCGACGGGGGAGCCGCGGCCATCGATCCTGCGCCGTCTGGACCCCAGGTAATTCGATCCAAGATACTTTGACTTCAGCTATGCTATTCACGTAGCTGAAGTTGCATATCTTGGATCGATTCCCCCCCCCCAGTGTAGACCAGCCCTGATACTCACCATCGTAAAGTGCTCGGAGTTCTATGGATGAAAACCCTAATAGGTTCTAAGTAATATGAAGTTTACAAATGGATTTAGCCACACAACAGTTCTGATATTCAACCTGAATTTAAATTGTTATAGTCTGAAATTCTCTTTTGAAATATATCAGGGAGTAGCCGTGTTAGTCTGTATCAACAAAAACAACAAGGAGTCTGGTGGCACCTTAAAAACTAACAGATTTATTTGGGAATAAGCTTTCGTGGGTAAAAAACCTCACTTCTTCAGCTGCATGGAGTGAAAGTTTGAAATATAGTTTTCCAAGATTTATGTTTAAGTGACTGAAGACCCTGCCAAGAGTGAGTTAGCCATAAAATTAGATTTTATGGAAGAGCAAACAATATACATGTGAATGCTCTAAAATTAGAAGACATATACATATGTATAAAATATTTTAATATTAATGTGCTGCAATGTACATGGAGCTCACAAGTTCTATAATGTCAAAACAAAAGAATGAAGTTTAGCTGACTTTAGTTTGATGTCAGAATTTCTTGTAGCATAATTCCCATTCTGATTTTTAGGTGTTCGTTTCTGAAGACATAGCTGTTTGATAATGACCTCTCACTACTGGCTTCTGAAACAGAACAAAACAAAACAGGTAATGGTGACAGTTTAATGGACAAAAGCAGGGGGAAATGAAACATGCCACTTTGACAAGTCTTTGCCATGGACAAAGAGAAGCAAGATCCCTTTTTTCTAGTAATCACCATCTCTCAAAGCCTCATGGCTTTTTGTTGGTTTACAAACATGGATTTACCACAAGTTCTCTCTATTCATTACAGTTTAAAGTATTTATGGATACCTGTGTAATTTTTTTTCTCCTCTAAAGAAAGTTTTGCCCAAGTTACCCTGTAAATTCAGTTATCCATCCAGAGAATAGAAATGTTC